GGCAGGACTATAAATTCCAGAACCCCCCTGAGAGATCCTTCTTTTCACTGTCTGTGGGACCTCAGCTCCGAATACCCCTGGGCAGTGTCCGCTTTTCTGGAAGAAGGGGGAAACCATAGCTGCCAACTTCTTTCTTTCAGTTAGTCTCAAAGGTGCTACAAGATCTTCCTACAAACCAACACGGCTATATCTTTGAATTCCCCAGATTCCCAGTTATTCATAGCAAGGTCCCTTCTTTTACTTCCATGGAACAAGTAGAGTCAGTGTGAATTTATCACATGAGGAACAACTGGAAGTATAAACGATGATTAACCCATGATTAACCTGCAATTGCACAATGGTTTTCACATGACATCGTGTGCAAAGCACTATTATCCTGCAAATAACCTGTGATCATCATCCTGCACTTGCACAAATGGTTTTCACATGGCATTGTGTACAAAGCACTATTATCCTGTAACCTGCGATTATCCCGCAATGCGCCAATTGTTTTCACACAATGTTGAGATGAAACGTGATTAAAGTGCCATTATCCCATGAATAACCAGGCAAGAAACAGCAGGAACTCATTCACGGGACTTTCCCATGAATGACTTTTTGCTGTTTCTTGCCTGGTTATTTCCTGGTTATTCACGGGTTAATGGCATTTGCGTTAGTGTCATTCTAAGCACGTTTTAATGTCAATTGCACAATTTTCACAGGTTAACCACTGTTTAAACTCACAATTTTCCCAGTGTGATAAAGTCCAGAGAATGAGAAAAGTAGAGCCATTCTTAGCACTTCTAGAATTGACCCCATGGAGAACTTACTAGGGGTTTGCTTAGTTACTTCTAGGAGTGAAGTAACTTGACATTTTAGGTCCAAAACGCACTGCAGAAATAATCCAGGTTGAGGTGACTAACTGCCGTGGCTAGGGAATTCTGGGAACTGTAGTTTTGTGAGTCATTTAGCCTTCTCTGTGAGAGAGCTCTGGTGCCACAATAAAGCACAATTCCCAGGATTCCCTAGCACTGAGCCAGGGAACACTGGAACCTCCTTCCTCAGTCACATGAGGAATCTGTGGGCTACTTTTCAAGCTTTTGAGAGCATGGCCTAGTGGTTTGAGTGTTGGACTATGAATCTGGAGTCCAGAGTTCCGATTCCCAACTCAGCCATGAAACCCACTTGGGCAAGTCACACTCTCTCAGCCTCAGGGGAAGGCAAAGGCAGACCTCCTCTCAACAAATCTTGCCAAGAAAACCCCATGATAGCTAGCTTTTCCTTAGGGTCACCATGAAAGCACACAACAACAACAAATGTGAACATAGGTCTTTGTTGTTGCATGCCTTCCAGCCATGTCCAACCCCAAGGCCACCCTATCATGAGGTATTCATGGTCAGTTTCTACAAACAGGGAAGGACGTTTCCATTGCCATTCCTCTGAAAAGGCTGAGAGAGTGTGACTTGCCCAAGGTCACTAGTGAGTTTCCATGGCTGAGCTGGGATTGGAAGCCTGGTCCCCTTATAGTCCTGGCCCAACACTCAAGCCTCTGTAACATAAGAGTGGGTTATTAGGACCCTGATGAAAGAACAATTAAACTTCCTCAGATTAGAGTCCCCAAAGTGTGGCCTTTAAGAGAATCTTGGACTTCAGCTCCCAGATGCCTCATCTGTATCTCACCTTTCCTCCCAAAAACTCAAGACAGGCCCTGTTTTCCCACCTTTCCCCCTCAACAACAACCCTGTGAGGTAGTTTAAGGCCAGCAAAAAAACACTGCAGAAATAATCCAGTTTGGCCAATGGTCTGGGATTCTGGGAGCTGAAGTCCCCCCCCCCCAAAAAAAAATCTCTTAGGGCCTGAACAGACTGCCAGAAATAATCCACTTTGAGACCACTTTATCTGCCCTGGTTCAGTGCTAGGGAATCATGGGAACTGTAGTTTTTTGCGGCACCTGAGTTCTCTGACAAAGAAGGCTCAATATCTCAGAAAAAACGACAATTCCCATGATTCCCTAACATTGAGCCATGGCAGAAATAATCCATCTCAAGATGTTCAGTCTGTTCAGGCCCTTAAAGACCATACTTTGCCATTTATTATTATAACCACCCCAATTTTTTCCCGGAAGTGAGGAGCTGAGGGTTGTCTCTACTCGTTCTCTTAGCTCTATGGGCTATATTGACCAGGCGACATCCCCTTTCTCGCTCCGTGCGCAGGCGCAAAGGAGCCAGTTCCTTTGGGCTCGGGCTCCTGTGGCGTAGAAGCGATGGAGGCGTCGTTAGAGGGGCCGCGGGAGCGAGGCGTTGCGAGTCCAGAGGCAGCTGCGGCGCCACCGCCGCCATTACAAGCGAACGGGGCCGGCGGCGGGGATGTAGTTGCGCGGGGCCCCCCGCTCTCCGGCACGTCCTACTGGCTGGACTTCTGGCTCATGATCCTCTTCGACCTGGTCCTCTTCGTCTTCGTCTATCTGCTGCCCTGAAGCCGGTGAGTCACAGGCGAAGGAAGGAAGGAAGGAAGGAGGCCATTGGGTGCCACCCGGTGCCTTCACTCAAAGTGTCACCCCCTTCACCTCCCCTCAGGTGCCCCCGCCATCCAGAAGCCTTAGGCCAGGGGTAGGCAACCTTTCCCCTTTAAGGGCCGAGGGACTTCAGCTCCCAGAAGCCTCAGCCATGTTGGCCAATAGTCCCATGTTGGCCAAGAGCTCCTGGGATTCTGGGAGCTGAAGTCCCTCGGCCCTTAAAGGGGAAAGGTTGCCTACCCCTGCCTTAGGCTATGCGTCCACACAGGAGCAAATAACCCACTTCGAGGCCGCTTTGACAGCCCTGGTGATTCAGTGCTAGGGACTCCTGGGGATTGTAGTTTCCTGTGGCACCAGAGCAGTGTGTGGAGGCAGCCCTAGTAGGGAGCCTTTTTCTAAGGGACTCAGATCCCAAAAGGGGACGCACTAAAACAAATGGCAGTACTTGCCCCATAGGGAAACCCATACTTGTCCCTAGAGAATCATTGGACAATAGTTGCCCATAGGAAAACATTGGGCAAGTATTCAGTGGTTCCTTATGGGAAAGAGTTCTCCAATGGTTCCTTATGGGCAAGCATTCCCCAATGGTTCCCTATGGGAAAGTGTTCTCCAATGGTTCCCTATGGGCAAGGTTCTCCAGTGGTTCCCTATGGGAAAGTGTTCTCCAGTGGTTCCCTATGGGAAAGTG